GTGGTCTGAGGGTGGAGGAAATGATCTCACACCCACAGGATAGACCTAGGGTGACTCCAGAGCATTCGAGTATAAATCTCAGGCGTCATCTCCATGGAAAGGGGAAATCATGGGATTGTTACTATTAGCTAATAATTCACTGGATCATATATATTAAATCATTAATTTCCACCAGGTTTTGAAAATTTCTTTCTTTCTTTTTTTGGCTGGGAGCCATGTTTTACTAACCTTGTAAACAATGTTCATTTGGCACATGGTAGTTGTTCAAGAAGAACTTCATTTATTCATCCTTTTATTGATAAACACTAGATACTAGGAATTTGATTATAGGCTGGGGATGGGATTTGAAGACCTGATAAGGGATAGGTTGTGTTTTCTTTTCTTCTCTTTTCAGTACTGGAAATTGCTAGGCAGGAGCTCTACCACTGAGCTACACCACCAGCCCTGGTGTTTTCTAACTGGGGCTTTCTTTGTATTCGCTCTAGATGAGGGGCACTGATCCCCAGGGGTGAAGTACATAGGGTCCTGGTCTGACTAAAGCTGTATTATCTCTTCATCCCTCAGAGTCACCAGGCCTCATTTCCCTGTGCAGGGGCCCCTGTCTCCTCACCACTCAGGCTGACTCCTCTCTGCATAGTGAACTTTATCTCCCACTAAATGAGAAAAATTAAGCAATCAAAGGCCTGGAGGAGGGGGTGCATGGAGGGCAGAGCCCACCCAGAGGTTGAAGACAAAAGTGAGAGGTGCGAATCCTGGTGAAGAGGCAGTGTGGGTGTGGATAAACAGGAGGGAGGAGCTGGATACAAGCAGGGAAGACTGAGTCTGGATGGGGAGGGAGGAGGGAATTCCCAGTCCCAGCCGGTCTGCCTGGCTCCAGCCAAGCCGGCTGTTTCCTGCCCTCTGTGACCTCCCACCCCGAGCAGGACCTAGGCTGGGCAGCGAGGAAGGGCAGGGGTGTGTGGAGCGCCACTTGTGTCAGGAAGATAAGTGCACAGGGACAAGAGGTCATCCAGGGCCGGCTGTAGTCTCTGGGGGCTTAGGGCTCTTGACAGCCCCCAGGTGTCCCGGATGCCTCCTTCCCTGTGACTTGGCTCCTCAGTGCCTCCAGATACTGTCCTCCTTGATTATCTTCAGTCTAAGTTCTTTCCTTCCAGCCCTTGGGGGCTGGACTCTGGCAGCAGCACCCTGGAGCCTCCACTATGGACACCCGAAGTAGAAGGGAGATTGGTGGGAGGAACATGGCTTTCCTGGACCCTCTCCTCTAACTGATGGATAGGGGGGGTTGGCAATGAGAGGAAGGGCCCCTCCCGGTCATCCTGAGGGCCCCCAGGAGACGGACAGGAAACAGCCTCAGGAAAGACAGCAGCAGCAGCCCCTCCAGCCCCAGTCCTCTGGGTCTTGGCAGCGGGCGGCAGGGACACCCTCCCACACCCCCACTCCCGCCCCGCGCCCACACAAGAGTGAGAGTGAGAAGAGTGATTTGGAGCTATCCGGACCATCACCATCGGTCACGCCTACCTTTTATTTACCCTTGCTTCCTTGTTTTTTCTAGATTCCTCTTCATCTCAGCCTAGTTCCCCTGCCCTCTCTGCACATTTCACCTCTGGGTTGCACGCACAGTAGGACCTCAATACTTAATGTGCATGAAGTTGAACGTCACAGAACGTCAGCTGCAACTATTGCCTGGAGACTTCTGGGAGGTCCTCCATTCTCAAAAGCCTCTACCCCTTTCTCCCTCCCCTTTCCCCCAAATGCAGTCTCCTGCACCAATTCGGGGATAGTGGGCACATCCAGGACTGGAATCTCAAGTGCACAGCAAGGTCAGAATGAGCTTCGTGTGCACATTTACTCGCACCTCGGTGCGGCTCTTTGCGTTGCTGCGTGTTTCTCTGCTCTTTGGTGCCTGCTGGGTTCGGGCCTGTCCCGAGGGTCCGAGGACCCTGGCCCCAACACGCGCGGTCCCAAGCAGGGCGCACGGCCACAGCGCACGTCTGGGCGGTCCTCCGGCTCCCCGCCCGGCGCCCCTCCCCCTTCTCCAAACTTTCTCTCAACTTCCCGACCTGCTCCATTGGGCTCCCCGCTCCGCTTCCCTCATGAATTATTCAGCAGCTTGCGAGCCAATCAGCCCGCCTGGCCCCCGCGTCGAGCCCGGGCTGGGGGGAGCTGCCCCCGC